AGGATTGCTTGAGCCCAGGAGTCTGAGGTTGCTGTGAGCTAGGCTAACGCCACGGCACTCACTCTAGCCCGGGCAATAAAGTGAGACTCTGTCAAAAAAAAAAAAAAAAAAAAAGTTACCTACAAAGACTCACCTATTCTTCTTACTTATGACAATTTATATAAACTTACTACACCAAGGTGATCTTTTACACCAAAACAATTTAACACGTAGCCTTTGGTATTAAAGTAATCTCCTAGTAGCAACTCACCGAGCTTCCCGTTGCTTAGCCTCTTCTGTTCCACGTGGCCTTTAAGTGCTCTGACTTTTTTTAGCTTAGCTTCCTGATTCTCAGCTATTTCTTTTAGTCTTTTAAGCTTCTCCTGCTCAGCAGCTTGTTGCTGTTGACGCTGATCTTGTTGTTTCAAAAACTTTAAACGTTGTTCCTAAAGATAAAAGCAATCATTAGGTGTATCATTTCAAGCAGGTATACCACTAACCTCAAAATGATCTATCTGCCCACAACCTGTCGGTGCTGAGACTGAGGTGCACCTGTAATACTGCTCTGGTCTGATCATCTGTCCTATATACTGCCAGCAGAATCACATTGGAAGTTTGTTCAAAACAGACACTCCTGAGCCTACCCTAGAATCTCTCAGAGTAAGATCCAGGAATCAGTATTTTTTGAGACAATCTTGCTCTGTCACCTGGACTAGAGTACAAGGGCATGATCATAGCTCACTGGAACCCCAAACTCCCAGGCTCAAGTTATCCTGCTGCCTCAGCCTCCTGAGTAGCTGGGACTGCAGGCGTGCGCCACCACACCCAGCTAATTTTTTCTATTTTTGGTAGAGACCGGGTCTCCCTCTTGTTCAGGGTGGTCTCCAACTCCTGACCTCAAGCGATCCTCCCGCCCCAGCCTCCCAGAGTGCTAGGATTACAAGCATAAGCCTCCGTGCCCAGCCAGAATCAGTATTTATAATCCAAGTGGTTCTTATGCAGCAAGGAAGCAGTGAAACTTCAGTTAGTTTTCCTTTTTTTTTTTAGAGACAGGATCTCCTTCTGTTGCCCAGGCTAGAGTACAGTAGCACAATCATAGCTCACTGTAACCTGGAACTTCTGGGCTCCAGGGATCCTCCCGCCTCAGCCTCCTGAGTAGCTGGGACTACAGGCACACACCACCACAGTAGGCTAATTTTTTTGTTTATTTGTGGAGACAGGGTCTTGCCGTGTTGCGCAGGCTGATCTCTAACTCCTGGCCTCAAGCAATCCTCCTGCCTTTACCTCCCAAAATGCTGAGATTACAGATGTGAGCCACCATGCCTGGCCAGTTTTCATAAAGTGCGGCAAGAATTTTAAGAAGTTGTTCATACAGAAATGAGCAGGGCCAGGTGCGGTGGCTCACGCCTGTAATCCTAGCACTCTGGGAGGCCAAGGCAGGTGGATTGTTTGAGCTCAGAGTTCGAAACCAGCCCAAGCAAGAGCGAGATCCCATCTCTACTAAAAATAGAAAGAAATTAATTGGACAACTAAAAAATATATAGAAAAAATTAGCTGGGCATGGTGGCACATGCCTGTAGTCCTAGCTACTCGGGAGGCTGAGGCAGAAGGATTGCTTGAGCCTGAAAGTTTAAGGTAGCTGTGAGCTAGGCTGATACCATGGCACTCTAGCCCAGGCAACACAGTGAGACTCTGTCTAAAAAAAAAAAAAAAAAAAAGAAACGACCAGTAGTATAAGAAAGTAGGATCTGTAGTAAATTTAGATTCAAACTCAAGCTCTGCTACTTATTAGTTATGAGACCTTGAACAAATTCATGTAACCCCACCAAGTATACAAGTCTATGTTTCCTCATCTGTAACATAAGGCTGATCAATAGTAACTACCTATTACTGTAGTGAGGATTAAATGGAATGTGAAATGTAAATCTCTTTGAACAGTATCTTACATAGCATACACTCAATAAATAGTAACTGAAAGAGCTTAACACCTTTAGAAAACTGCAATTATGAAATTTAAAAATTTTTTTCAAACTAAAACTGAGTAACAGAGACACAATTTATAAATCACCAGTAAACTACTTCTTAGATCAATATGCCTAAAACATAAATAACACGGAAATAATTTTAAAATAAGGACCCTGAGGTTAGAGATTTATTCTATAACAATCTTTTTATTTGAATATATAACCTTGCTACTCAATGTAATAGTGCATCAGCATCACCTGGGAGCTTGTTAGAAATGCAGAATCTCAAACCCTATCCTGTACTAACTGAATCAGAATATGCATTTGCGACAAGATCCTTAGGTGATTCACATGCTTATTCAAGTTTGAGAAGCAAAGATACACATGATTTTGAAAAAGATGGTATGTGGTATTACAAATAGAAATGGATACACAGGAACCCTAGGAAGTACTACATGGAAGTCTACAGTGTGTGTTGAGAACTGCCTTAAAGAACCACTGGGGCAGGGCGTGGTGGCTCACGCCTGTAATCCTAGCACTCTGGGAGGCCAAGATGGGAGGATCACTTGAGGTCAGGAGTTCGAGACCAGCCTCAGCAAGATTAAGACCCTGGCTCTACTAAAAACAGAAAAAAAAATTAGCCAGGTGTGGTGACGCCCACCTGTAGTACCAGCTGCTCAGGAGGCTGAGGCAGGACAATTGCTTGAGCCCAGGAATTTGAGGTTGCTGTGAGCTAGGCTGACACCACGGCACTCTAGCCCAGGTGCCAGAGTGAGACTCTGTCTTTAAAAAAAAAAAAAAAAAAAAAAGCACCCCTGGCCATTACTTCAAAGCCTTATTGGGTCACTTGCCACCAGCTTCAGTGAACTTATAGTCACCAAAGGAATGGTCAGTTGCAAATACTGGGTGCTTAGACAAGGGACTGAGAAACTACAGCCTACAGGCCAAATCCAGCTTGCTATCTGCTTCGGTACACAAAGTTTTATTGGAACACAGCCACACCTATTTGTTTCTGTATTATCTATGGCTGCTTACAACAGCTTAGTTGAGTAATTGCAACAGAGGCAGCACAGTTTACAAAGCCTAAAATACACGCATGTAGCCCTTTACAGAGTACTGTCTCATGGCATCTGGTTTAGATTAGAAGCTTATGGCTGGCAGGGGAAGCAGCAGTGAGACTGATTCTGATAGTTATGGAGAGGCTTCTCATATTTTTTCCTGTTCAAGACCAGACCTAGGATAAATTTGTAGGTAAAGAATGTCCCCAAATAGAGGCAAGCAGGCTGTTTTCAGTGCCCAGAAGCAGAGGGGACAGTATTAGCCTTAGGAAACTTTAAAATTCCTCTCATCATAGCCCAGAGTAGTTCCCTAGCAGGAAAGGTGAAGGGCTCTTTATGCCTTTCCCGTATGAGTGACACCCAACATAGCACAGTCAACTTTGATCAGAACCAAGGGTCAGAAGATCTTGAACAATCAGGATGATACAGGATCCCCAGCAAATGCCATAGTGAGGGTTTGCAGAAAGCACCCAACAGCAGGTGACCTCTAAGTTGATAACATCAACTCATATCTGTGAGGTGATCGGCTTAATGATGAGGGTAGAATGTAAACAACCTTACACATACATTAACAATAGTGGCCTGTTACGTCTTTTAAAACAAGACACTACCTTAGTAGCCAGCATTTGTTGCTGGGCCTCAATCTGTTGCTGCTGGCGAGATGCCATTTCCTGAAGTTCAGCAAGAGTCAGATCCATCCTAGGACTATTAACCTACAAATAAAAATACAAACACACACAATCCAACTTACTCTAAAATTATCAGAGATTCCTCACTCAAAGGTTTGTTTATACGGACCATTGATCTTTCGAGTTGTAAATTTAAAATTAAATAGTTTCAACAGTTAGGGACATAAATGAAACAATTTAGAATTACTTTGTTCTGTAGTTAATTTATATCAGGACAGTGTTTGATCATATTAAACATGGTGCTGAGGAACTGGCAGCAAATCTAGAATGCAGTCATCAGAACATCATTTAAAACTACTATAGCACTAAAAAATTCAAGATACAAGCCGGGCACAGTGGCTCATGCCTGTAATCCTAGTACGCTGGGAGGCCAAGGCAGGAGGATTGCTTGAGGTCAGGAGTTCGCGACCAGCCTGAGCAAGAGCAAAACTCCATCTCTACCAAAAAATAGAAAAATTAGCCAGCTATGATGGCACACACCTGTAGTCCCAGCTACTTAGGAGGCTGAGGCAAGAGGATCACTTGAGCCCAGGAGCTTGAGGTTGTAGTGAGCTATGATGATGCCACTGCACTCTAGCTGAGGCAACAGAGTGAGACTCTGTCTCAGAAGAAAAAAAAAAAAAAGAAAAAAATCAAGATATAACGAGTCCTCAGGAATAAAGCAAGGACATCGACTCTCAAAACATCTATTCAACATTGTCCTAGAGGTTCTAGCCACTGCAATAAAATAAGAAAGAGATATTAACAGCATCTGAATTGGTAAGAAAAAAGTTAAAATGCCTTTATTCATAGACAACAAAATCATCTATGAAGAAAATGATATGGAATCCATAAAAAGCTACCAGAACTCACATTCTAGAGCTTGGGAAGCAAGAAGCCAAAAAAGAAAAATGAAAGCTACCAGAACTAATACGTTATGTAGCAATATTGCAGGATTAAAGATCAACATGCAAAAATGAATTGTATTTCTATACATTAGCAACAATAAGAAATTAAATTGTTTAAAAATACCATTTATAATAGTATTGAAAATATGAAATACTTAGAGATAAATTTAATAAATATGTAAGACCTATACAATGAAAACTTCAAAACATTGCTGAGACAAAGAAGATCTAAATATTATGGAGAGGTATACCACGTTCATGAATTGAAAAGCTCAATAATGCTTGATTCTAAAATTCATATGGAATTGCAAAGCATCTAGAATAGGCAAAACAACTTTGAAAAGAATAAAACTGGAGAGCTTATACTACCTGACTTCAAGACTTATAAAGTTCTAGTAATCAATGCAGTGTGGTATTGACGTCAAGATAGGTAAACTAGATCAATGAAACAGAATAGAGTACAAAAATAGACCATACTTATATGGGGCAATTGATTTTAGACAAAGGTATAAAAGCAACAGTGGAAAAAGAATAGTCTTTTCAACAAATATTGCTTGTACAATTGACTACTCATATGAAAAAAACAAATTGAACTTTGATTCTCATACCATATGCAAACATAAACTCAAAAGGGATCACAGACTTAAATGTAAAACCTAAAACTGCAAAAATTCTAAAGGAGAACAAAAGAAAAAAATCTCTTTGACCCTGGGTTAGGCAAAGAGCTCTTAGATACAATACTAAAAGTACTCTCCATAAAAGAAAAAAATTAATCAATTGTACTTAATCAAATCAAGAGCTTTTGCTCTTCAAAAAGATAAACACTACTGTTTAAAAAAAAAAAAAAGGACAAGTCACATACTGGCACATACTGAGAAAAATATATTTGATAATTATATATGTGATAAGACTTGGATCCAGAATATATAAAGAACTCTCAAACTAAAAAAAAGCAAAGCAATCAATAAAACCAAATGATCCAATAATGAAAACAAATGAGCAAATGATCTGAACAAGTATTTCACCAAAGAAAATACACAGAGGGCAAATAAGTACCTGAAAAGACGTCTAACATCATTAGTCTTTAGAGAAATACAAATTGCAGCCACAACGTGGGATGGGTGCAGAGGCTCACGCCTGTAATCCTAGGATTTTGGGAAGCTAAGGCAGGGGGATCAGCAGGGACCAACCTGAGCAACATAATGAGACCCTGTCTCTACAAAAATTTTTAAAAATTAGCTGGGTGTGGTGGTGTGCACTGTAGTCCCAGCTACTCAGGAGGCTGAGGCAGGAGGATCATTTGAGCCCGAGTTGGAGGATGCAGTGAGCTGTGACCATGCCACTGCAGACTAGCCCCAGGCAACAGAGATTCTGTCTCAAAAAAAAAAAAAAAAACCCACAATGCAATAACACTACACACGTTAGAATGGCGAAAATTTGGCAAATTTGTTGGCAAGGATGTGGAAAAACTGGAATTCTGGTGGAAACGTAAAACAATACAGTCATTTTGGAAAATATCTGGCAGCTTCCTAAAAAGTTAACATATTTACACCTACCATATGACCCAGCTATTCCACTCCTAAGTATAATATTTACTCAAGAGGAATAAAAACATGTCTGTATAAAGAACTTGTACCCAAATATTTATACCAGCTTGATATGGAATAGTCAAAAACTAGAAACAACCCAAATGTACATCAACAGGTGAATGAATAAACAAATTGTGCTGTATACAGATGATGAAATACATCTCAGCAACAAAAGGAATTAATTAGTGATAAACACAATAACACAGATGAATCTCAAAATAATTATGCTGAGTGAAATCAGACAAAAAAAGAGTACACACTGAATGATTCCATTTATATAACGTTTTGGAAAATACAAATAATGTATAGTGGCAGAAAGAACCAATAACGATTCCCTGGGAATGGGAAAGAGGCAAGGAAGGATTACAAAAGGACACAAGGAAACTTTTGGAGGTAGTAGATGTTTTCATTACCTTGATGATGGTGACAGTTTCATACATGTACACTTCTGTCCAACTGTATACTTCAAATTTGTGCAGTTTAGTGCATATCAATTATACTTCCATAAAGCTGTTTTTTAAGACAAAAAAACTAACCCCCAGGTAGAGGGGGATAAATTATGTCCAGATGCACTAAAAAAAAAATCCTGTTTATGGCTAAAATCATTTTATTATTTATATCATAAAATCTTCCTTATATCATCCTTTCATCATTGTAAGATAACTACAAGATCAAAGAATAGAAAAAGGAAGAATTTGAGGAAAAGCACAGTAGGAGCAAGTGGTACTTTTGGATTTTAATGTAAATTTACTGGAGATCAGAGAAAGGTAACTTAGACATTAAATTAAAATTCTGAGCTCTACAATGTCAAAGCATACCAAAGATACGTGCTCCTATACATACACATGCACGTGTATTTATATGCAAGAGTATAAATAATTTTCTATTTTTCTAAAAGCAACAAATAAAATCACCAAAAACAAATAATGTCTCAAAATTGTTCAACATTTATTTTGTTCTCAAGTTGTGATACGTTCAGCATATAACTTTCTATAATAAATTGCCACTAAAATTAATATTTTCTATGAAATAAATTTAAAATAACCTTTAAAATAGAGCCATCCTTAACGAGTTGAACAACAAAGTAACGAAGAATGAGATTTAAAGGTTCAGAAAGCAGTATCATTGTGGTATACATAGCATGTTAAAAATGATCACTTACGCCATTCTCCTTTCTTCGATGTTCACCAGGAACTTTTACACCATTTCTTTTTAAACTTGGATCCTGAGATCTTGGTCCACTCACTAAGCACAAAATTCAAAAACTATGCATTAACACTAGAGTTGAAAGATATTATAAGTACCAGTTCACTTCTGAATTCTGTTATTGCTGCTTGATACTTCAAAGTGGAACACATACTTCAAATAAAATATTTTCTAATGTCAATGGAGTTAAGATCTCCTAATTCAGCCTGTTTTGGAAAATCAATTACACAGAACAGTGAATAGTTAGCACTAAGAAATATCATGTGCCACTTATTCATTAGGAAAGCTGTCTGATTCACAGACCAAAGGAGGAAATATTAACACAACTAATGCACTTCCGACTATAGGTAATTCATAGCATTTGTTTATAGTTGCTCCTCCTAGTTCTCTATTTAGCTACTCAGTAGCAAAATCAAGAAGAGCTTCACTGAAGGAAATAACTAAAAATTAAATCAATCCATCCTTGTATTCATTAGCAGTGTTTTTAATTTATTAAGGGAAGGAAGCACTTGAAAATAGAACAAGTAGTATTTTGATTATCTGGTTTATTAAGAACACTTGGTGGTAATTTTTAAGTACTATGAAGTACTTCCCCATTTTTAAGAAAAAAATTTCTGTTTTCTTAGTTTGGGAAAGTACTGACTAGAAAACACTGTGTATTTGCTTTTTTGGTTAAAAAGAACTTTTCGAGCCAAAATATATGGGTCTCTCAGTATTAATGCATCATAAAAAGAAAAGTCTTAAACAAATATAAGAAATAAATGATATCAACAAAGAGAATTTTAAAAATACATTAAACTAAGCTCATACCTATACTTCCCAGATATTAAAACAATTATCAAATTACCTCCTAAGAAATTTTAGATTAAAATTTCTTTTGAATCAAACGTCTATTATACCAGCCAGCACAAATTCCCATGCCAATAAATAAACGTGTCTCTCCTCAGAGCCACGGATCACACTTATACCTAACTCTAACATGTTAGCTTTATTTTTTAAACACTGCTCAATTCTGTGACAAAAATAGCTCAGGTAATCTGTCACAATATTTCTGCAAGAAATAAAAAAATTCTATAATTTAAGAATAGTTGCTTTCTTTGCTGCCTCAAAGAGAGCAATTAACTGATTTCTCCTTTGTATGATGAGTTATAGAATTAGAGCAAAAAGCAAGAGCTTTAAAAATAATTTCATATACATTCTGGGTTATAGGTCCTAGTTAAATTGAAAAAAGAATACAGTAACAGTCTCCTAATCCTCCTACAAGTCTAAATCAAAAAAAGCAAATTAATTCCTTACTAAAGGATACTGAAAAGCAATCCTGTTTTACCCCAATTTAAACACTGTGTGGCACTGGTGTTGTGTAACAACGTGAAAACAGCTCCTTTATCTTCAGATTTTATTTCTCACATTACAAACACACTGAAACTGCACATTGCACTATTGAGAGACTATTTAATAATTTACTTACTACTATACAGCAAGATATTTGAACTCGTAGATGAACAGGTAAAATTCAACTCATTAATTAGAAAAGGATGTATGCAATATAAATAAAGAACAAAATAAAAATAAGATGCAAATGCCAATTTAAAACTACAAAAAAGAAGGCCTCAGGAAAAAAAAAAAATACATGCTTACTTAAAATAAAATTACAGACACCAGTGATACTGAAAGGCAGCCAGGTAGCCTGGCTGAGGTGATTCAGGTTCCACTTCTGGCTCTGCCTCTGCGTGTGTGGCCTCTGACAAGTCACTTAACCCCTAAGTATCAGCATTTCTCATCTGTAGAGTAGAAGGGGCCAGACTAAGTCAATTCTGCCCCCCTATCCCCACCCATATTCTAAATTTAATCACTGCTAATGGTCAGATATCATATGGACACTCTGTATTAAAACAACAGTTAGTAATAAAGCTGAGATTTTGTAACATTCATAATTAACATCCATTACCTACATTCTTACTCCTAAGAAGTATATATATATTGGAGGTCACAAATTACCCTCAACTTTCCACTTTAAAAATTTCATCGTTTTTAGAAATACATAGTAATCCTACTTCAACCCCTGGCTTCCCACTGAGAACACAGCTTCCCTGTGGATCTCAGATCTCAAGCTGCTCATTCCCCCTCATCCAACAAGACCTCCAAGCCATGGGGACAGCTGTGTCCCCAGTGTCTAGGGCTGCTTCCAGCACTCTCACTCCACACTCTCCCTATTGTCATCTACAAACTCTAGTCGCAAGCCCCGGTCACTAAAGACGTGACCAGCTGACTCCCTTGCTCTCTCCACCTCCATGGCCTGCCTTCATTCTGCATGACTTCATCACCCAAATGCTGGCCTCCCAGTTCATTCCAAGGCCCAGCCTAGGACCACATCACCTAGATGCGCTCTACCTCTGAAATTGCCAATTTAAAATTCTACTTTTTGACCGCAATTTCCTTTCAATCTGCCTGTCTCACGCACCTCCTCTCACCAACCTGTTCATTCACGGAGCTGAGACCTGCAGTCCCCTCCCCCTGTGTGCTCTTTCCCCACAGCCGCCACCTCCACTTCTTCCCCACCCAGTTCACTCGTCACCTTGTCTCTTCTCCCCGTCCCACTGGCCTTCCATTGAATTTGTCTGGATAGTTAGGTCAATCCACCTGTTTCCCTCTCCTCTTACCACGCACCTGGGCTGCGGAGCACCACTGGAGAAGAATCCCACATGATGGCCTGGTCTCCAATTTCGACAGGCCTTGTGGCCAGCTCCCGCAGCCTGGCTTCCCTAGGAAGCACCTCTCCTCTTCTCCACAACAGCTCCAGCTCCCACCCACCTCCACCATCATCACTTCCAGATGACTCTGCCTCCCACCTCAGAGGCAACAAATGTTTCCAGATGAGAAATCCCTCAACTGACTCCCACAAAACACACAAATTTAACTGCATCTGCCACAGTTTTCTTTCTGTCCTGTCACAACAGAAGAGGAATCCAATCTCTCCATGAGGGCCGTGAAAGCATGTCCTCAACAACCCTGGGCTATCAAGTATTCCTTCTTTCTTAGAGTTCCAACTTCCTGCCCTATTGACCCCTCCCCACCTGTATTAAAAAACTATAGTCAAACTTCTCCCAGCTTCAAACAAACCACACCCTCTTCTCACTCCCCAACATTCAGGTCTTAAAATACCGATCTACCCCCATTGTTCCAACCTCCCAACCTCTCCCTCACCAGTCAAATCACCTGGGTCCTCATCGTGCGCTGTCTACTATTCCCGGCCACTCGAGTGCACAAAATGAAAGCTCACATATCTGTCAGGATTGGTATATGCTACCTACCAATGTCCCTGCCAGGGGGGCGTTCATGACGAAGGAAGAAACGAACTTCATTCCTCTGACTTCCAAATCGTTGAAGAACATCAAACATTCGCTCATTATCAGCAACTGGACGTTCTAAAACAAATGAGTAGAAATCACATTATCTTCAGGTAAAAGAATGACAAAACACATTGTTTACTATCCATCCTTCACACAAAGTGTGCATTAGGGATGTAGAAATACTTAGCATCTTAGATACTTTTTTTTCATTAAAAGAACTCTTAGAAAACACAGTATTACAGATTTCCACACATAAAATCATTGTCAGGCCAGTGTGGAGTACTAAAAAGAGGAATGGAACTCATCTTGCTGTCAGGAGATCAAGAGTCTAACCCAGCAGGTCCTAACTAGCCAAGGGCACACCATTTAATTTCTGTGGATTTCAGAAGTTTCTGGAAAACCTATTAGATCAGATGGTCCCTTCTAACACTAATGTTCTATGAGTTTCTAAATAGAGGAAGAAAAAATTAAAATGCAACTTTCTAAATAGCCTAGTTTTTAAATTATATTTTCTAATATAGGCTATTTTGAAATTATAATTTTACAAACAATGTTAAAAAAAATCAGACATCCATTTCCAAATAAAAGGCTATTTACTGCAGTGAAAACATATCTATTTGGTCCCTCTTCCAGCAAGAATGCCAGTGCCAGAACTTTCTGAAGACAAAAAGAAGGGCACAGCTAATAAAAATCGCAGCTTCAGGAGAAACAATATATGTCAAGCTCTCCTCAAAAAATCTCCAATCTCAAGGGAACTGGATATAAAACTAAACATACTGTTTGAGGAGGCAACTGCTTAAAATCAACGAAACACCAGTAATGTCGATACAATTTTTAAATACAAGAACTTTGAAAAAGCCTAAGAAAACTCAACACACTTATCAGTAATCAAAGACACTATCTCAACACCTTAAATAAACAACGTGGGCGGAGAAGGGAACAGCCATGCATAGCCAACTTCGTGAACTAACCCTGAGCTTAATCTGCTTGGCTGCCACAAACAAAATACGGTTCTGGTTCTACTTCTAGTAACATAACACACTGTTGTTGACACAGATACCCTCCTTTTATACACCACACAAATTCTAACTAAGACCCTCTGAAAGGAAATACCCATGGCTGAAGAGATACCTTCCAAAAGAAATTCTGAGTAGATCCTTCATCCACCCCCACAAAACACACACACAGACCACACAAGCTGTACTCAAAAGAAGTAAAATCTCCAGGTTCCAGGAGCAGAAAGAACTCAAAGGAAGTGAAGTAACTTCCAGTCCATGCTGACTCCCCAGAAGGGTATGGACCTTCCTTAAAGCTCTAGGTGCTAAGAGCCTGATGGCCCTCTGATGGCAAAAGGTCAGGTGTAGGCCTAGCAGCTGAACAGAAACTTCAAAGGTTCTCAAAGCTCCCTATTAACACCCTGTGCTCCAACCACACCTACAGACATCTCGGTCAAGGGCAGACCACACATATGATAGTGGTCCCGTAAGATTATAATACCGTGTTTTTACTGTACCTTTTCTATGTTTAGGTATAAAGTTTAGATACACACACTTACCACTGTGTTACAACTGCCTACAGTATGCGGTACAGTAATAGGAGCAACAGGATATACCATATAGCCCAGGTGTGTAACAGACTGTATACCATCTAGGTTTGTGAAAGTATACTCCTATGAAGTTCACACGACAACGAAATCATCTAACGACACATTTCTCAGAACGTACCCCCACGGTTAAGTGACGCATGGACTGTAGCTCCTTGCCATAGCATTCCTGCTATGTGAATTGGAACATGCCATTCCTAGCACTCATCACCCTCTTCTCCTGCAGATGGAACACATCTATTACTGCAATTATCACACTGAATTATAAATGTCTGTGGATACCTGTTTCTCTTTGTGCACTGCAAGATACCTGACAGCAGGTAACTTTCATCTCCGTAACCCTCTCAATCAAGCATAGTCCCTACCTCTTAACAGGTATCCAAGAAATGTTCACCAAGCAAATACATGAGTGGGTAGAGAGGAAATGGAAAAGGAAAGGAAGGGGAAGGGCAAGAAAAGGTAAGGCTTTAACACGTACAGAATGAAATAATAGAAGAGCACATTTATAGCTTTGAAATAAGGAATGATTTTTTGTAAAATAATACACAAATAGGTCTGAGATCCAGAATACAGTTTTTTAAAATACCTACAGATCAAGAGGGAAAGACAAAGGCCAAAGGAAACTTGAACAAAGGATATAAAGAAATAATTAAAAAAAACAGAAATGCAATGACCAATAAACAAACGAAAAAACAGGCAGCCTCATGTGTAATCAGAAAAACGCAAATTTAAACAAAAGACAAGTTTTCAGCTATCAGTTTAGAAAAAGTTAAAATATTATTGTAATTGTTGATGAGAAATTGTTTGAGAAATAACTGGAAGAGGCATGAAGTGATATAACCTTTGTGTAGGAAAATCTGGCAATACATATATGCACGTTTTAAAATATGTGAAACCTTACGTTAAGTTGCTTCACTATAGTCCCTTTTTGCTATTATGTATCCCATAACATCATGATGTATACCTCAAATATATACAACAAAAAATTTATTTAAGAAAAAACGTGAACTTTTAACCAAGGAATTCCACTTCCTGGCATCCACCCCCTAGAGAAATACTTGCACATGATCAAAGGAGGTTCCTAAAAGGATTTTTACTGCAGCACTTACAAAAACAAGAGAATTAACTTAAATGTTTGTTAATAAAGAAATCATTAGATCAACTTTATGCATACTGTGGAAAATTATGTGATAATTAAAACACATAATGATGTAGATTTACATATACTAATCTAAAAAGATCGCCAAACTATGTTGTAAAGTAAAATAGTAAACTGCAGGACATTGATATGTATGCAACTATTTACATAAAGAGAGAAACAAAACACAAAACTGTTTCCACAGTTACTTATAAACAAAGAGAAAAGGTCTGAAAAGCTATCTGTTAAAATCATAAAGTGATCACATAAAAGGATCAGGGATGGGCTTAGGAGAGAGACATTCATTCTGTTTATATTATTTCCTTTTTTACAATCTAGAACACATTTAGGTGTTATCATTAAAATTTCTTTAATTAAAAAATTATAAGAAAGAAAACCTTTTACACATCGTCATCACATAGTAAGGGTTATTAAACTCAATGAGCAAGACACTAGAGAGGCCTGTAATCCTAGCACTCTAGGAGGCCGAGACGGGTGGATAGTTTGAGCTCAGGAGTTCGAGACCAGCCTGAGCAAGAGCAAGACTCCGTCTCTACTAAAAAAATAGAAAGAAATTAGCTGGACAACTAAAAATATATATATATAAAAAAAATTAGCCGGGCATGGTGGCGCATGCCTGTAGTCCCAGCTACTCGGGAGGCTGAGGCAGAAGGATTGCTTGAGCCCAGGAGTTTGAGGTTGCTGTGAGCTAGGCTGACGCCAGGGCACTCACTCTACCCCGGGCAACAGAGCGAGACTCTGTCTCAAAAAAAAAAAAAAAAAAGACGCTAGAGAGGAAAAGGAATAGGGAGACTCAAGAGTTTCAAGGAAGAGATTAAAGCCTTCGCAAAGAAAGAACACTTCTTCCTCTAAGAAAATGAGAAGAAAGGGTAGGTGGCAAGAGAGAATCTGAGCTACAGAGAAGAGAAACTGCAGACGCATACAATGGATAGAGTCGATTATCACAGTAATAAAGCAAGGTAATCTGCTGATGGTTACCACAAGCAGCTAGAAATTCGGTTACTCATTCAGTAAGTATTTATTGAGCACCTACTAGGTGCCAGGCACTACCCTCGAGCTGTGGATACGGCAAGACAAAAAAAGGTCTCTACTCTTAAGTAGTTTACATTCTAGTGCATTTGTTTGGGGCTATAGGTATTAAAGAGGTGATAAACTAATATATACACACAAAATCAGAGAGTGGCATACATTCTGCAAAGAATTAAATCAGGGTGATGTAACTGAGAACTAACTTCATGGCTACTTTTAGCAGGGAGCTCAGGAAACATCTCTCTGAAGAGGTAATGTTTTAGCTGAAATCCAAATGTCCAGAAGGAACCAGAAATGACAAAATCTGGAGGGAGAGCAATATAGGCTGTGGGAATAGCTCCTGCAAATGACTCTAAGGTAGACTACAAGAGCTTAGCCTATGCAGTCAAGGAATATTTAAAAAGCTGCAGGAGGAGGCAAAGAGGAAAATGGTACCAGATGACAGCAATGACAACGAATCTACAGGCCTTCACAGTCTCAGATAAAGAATTTGGATTTTATTCTAAGGGGAAGAGAAAATATTAAAGAATTTTAAGCAGGAAAGTGAAATTATCCAATTTTCATTTTAAAAAGACCACTTGCACTTCTTTACGTGATTGTTCTAATCTGGCTTCTACGTAAAGAGAAAAAGAAGAAAGTAATTCAGACAGAGTACAGAAGACCTTCTAGAACATACAACTGTAGGAAAGTCAACCAAAATGAATAAAAGGACTTGCTTGAAAAGAAGCAGGGCCCGGTTGATGTTAGATACCATGAACGGTGTGAACTCAATTAACACAGTATGTAACTTGCTCTGGGGACAGCTGGCATCCCCAGAGGAGAAAAAGGAAACAGTGGGAGTGCACCCAGTCTGTGGAGAAACAAGGCGGAAATGATGAAAAATTACTCCACATTCACCAACTCCTATGGGGCCAAAAAACCCAGGCTGTCCCACTTCAGAGCTCCAAAGAACCATACTGAGGGACAGATTTCAAGGCTTACAATAATGCCCACGAGTTCTCTGCTGCCACCTGCCATGACAGTTCCTCAACACTAGTAGCGTTCCCTAAAAACCTACAAAAACTTTGAGAGGGCAAACGAATCAGAACGTCTCAGATTAATTAGTAAAGCCTGAACATACAAAAGATACTTTTGAGCACCATACATTTGACCACAAAATCCCAGGTGACCTTTTGTATTTTACAGTGTGGTGTCTTCATTCTACTGCAGAAAGAGAAAACAGCAAAAAGACTCACAACAAAGCTGGATTGAGAACATTATGTTCTGATGGACACACTATTCTACAGTTTCTCTGTGGAGAAACATGAACACTCACTTAGTGCCACTTTTATAAACCAAAATGAATAAAAGCAGAACAAAGCACAAGGTCATCTGGGTCTCTTACCAGAGCCACACCACACTTCAGCCAAATGGCAGTCGCTCTCGCCAGGTTCTTTGCATAAATCTACCACATCTCTGCACACTGTTTCAGGAGTAACCGGAACTTCTGTGAAGTGCTGCTCATTGTTACTGAGGTACACGGTAAGAAATATCTAAAAATTAAAAGAAAAACAGTTACCAGCACTGTCTGCATTGGTGGTATTCACCTTAGATTCCTTTCTCCCAAAAAAATCTCATTTGGAAGTACAAATGTATGCACTTCGGATTTTGGAATATTTGTAGGTAACCAGTTGAGCGTCCCTAATCCAAAAATCCAAAATCCGAAATATTCCAATGAGTATTTCCTTTGAGTACCATGTAAGCACTCAAAAAGTTTCAAATTCTGGAGTATTCTGGATTTTTGGATTAGGGATGCTCAATCTGTATTACGTTCTCTTCAATTAAAAGATAAGATCCAACATAGATGAGGCTGCAGGAAAGGTATTCACTCAAAAATATGATGATAGTATTATAAATCGTTAAAAAAGCACATTTGGAAAGTAAAATAAACCATGTATCAAAAGCCATAGAATTATGTATACCTCATTACCTTACTCCTGGGAATTTATTCTAAAGACATAATTGCAATGTACTACAACCTCTATGGACAACAGGATAGAGATTCTTCAAAGAAATAAACGTAGACCTACCATTCAATCCAGCAATCCCACTGCTGGGTATCTACCCAAAGCAAATGAAGTCATTTTATCAGAAAGACACCTGCACTTCAATGTTTATCACAGCACAATTCACAATTGCAAAGATGTGGAATCAATCTAAGTGCCCATCAATTCATGAGTAGGTAAAGAAAATGTGGTATGTATATACCATGGAGTCCTACTCAGCCATAAAAAGGAATGAAATAATGTCATTTGCAGTAACTTGGATGGAACTGGGGACCGTTATCCTAAATGAAGTATCTCAGGAAAGGAAAAACAAACACCACATGTTCTCACTCATAAGTGGGAGCTAATAGATGAGTACACATGGGCACAAAGCAATATAAGGGACATGAGAAAGCAAGAAGACGGGAGGGTGGGAGTGGGGGGCAGGGTGTAGGATAAAAACTTACCTGTTGGGTAATATGAACACTATTCTGGTGATGCGCACACCAAAAGCCCTGACTTAAGCATTATATAAGGTATCCATGTAACAAAAATGCTTATACCCCCTTAATATTTGGAATAAAAAAATAAAAAATAAAACACATAAATTTTTTTTTAAAAATTGAAATGAAGAAAAACTCTAAATGCCTGAAAATTTTCACTACAATGTTGGATCTATATACAGTAAGGTGGAAAACTAAATATCCAGCAACATGGAAAAGCTTATAAACAGGGAAAACTTAAGTTAAAATCATTTGCTGGAAGGACTATGACCCAGCTACCTACTATTATAAGTATAGAATATTAGGAAAATGTTAAGATAAAGTTATAAAACAGAATAATACTAAGTTGTTTTATAACTTTAAAAATATATGTACCATTTAAAATATATATACACATGAAATGACTTATATCGAATACACGGAAATAAAATTAGTGATATTAGAGGCAGGTATAAATAGATACCACTTTTAAATTTTTCAAATCTCAATGATAAAATATTTTTACAGTAATTTACAATTTAAAAGTATACTTAGTAAACTGTGATAAAAGAATATGAAAATATTTCATGAAAAGTGGTAAATGTGATTACTACTTGTTTCTACCTCTTACAGTCATCAATCTCAAGAGAAAGAAAACTCAAGGAAAGGTAAAAACACCATATTAAGTTGTGCCAGGCAACCTACAGACACACTGCACAGTAATTCATGCCAAAGTTGTATCCAAATGAAGACCTGCCCTTCCAAAATTCAAGGTCACAAATAATTTTCATTTTAAAAAAGAATGGGTTATAGGTTTATTTTAAGTCTTGTTTTTACAGAACATGTACTCACTGTAACTATGATGTCATGCTACTGCTGTAAGAATGATTCATTTTCAAAGAGGAATTATTTCAGATTAAAACCTGAAAGACTTTTCCAAGAGGAGATACAAAAAAAAAACAACTGGCTAGAGCATTTACAAGAAATTTACTTTGAGTCAGAGGCTAAAGTTTATTCATTTGACTTAGAAAATCATGTGAAGTTCCACAAAAAGAAAAAAGGAACCAAGAGTATAAGATGTTCCCTAGCACAGAAAGGAAATTAAGCTTTGCAATAACACCTTTGGAGTTTTGATTTATAAAAACTTAAATCCCTCAGGTTTACCTAAGAGAAAAGAAAAGAAAATTGTGCTTTAAAGAAAAATGAACAATCTGTAAAAAGAGTGACATCAACCCCCCCAAACTTTGCAACTCACAGGAAGCTCTCCATAGGAACAGCCAGGAAAGTATGCTAGCAGTGAGATCAGAGAAAGGCCTGAATGGTTTGTGTTCAACAATTCCTCTGTGGAGATAAGTGTCAAGTATTACTTCATTTTTATATCTTGTTGTACCCCTCATAAAGGAAGGCCCCAGATTACTTTCTGTAAGAGGAGGACTCCACTAGGCTTACTAAAACCTGGTCAAGCAAAAACACCTCTCTCAACACCATGATATAGAAAAGGGATTTAATTAAGACATAACCAAAGCTGCTTTCAACCTCTAACTCACACACAGCCATTTAGCCCGACTATGGCTTACAACACTGGAAGAGGTTTAGACATGAGGTGCAGACCATTCCAGTCTTCTAGGATACCCTGTCTCCTGCTCCTCAAAGACCTGGCTGTCTGCTCCAGCGCCCCCAGCTGGCAGCACTGCACACCAAGGGCCTGGTGATCATGTGGCTCCCTAATTCAGACAAGCTCCTCGCTGAGGGCGTAGCTTCCAGCCTCCTGCAGGAAGTGTGCTGCCCAGTCGCCCCAGCCCGGCCTGGCCTTCCACACTCCCCAGTAGCTGAGGGGCAACCCACAGGGATCTCTGGGGAGCCTCCATCAGGAGCCGCGGGGACACCGCATCTTTGAGTCCCTTCCGTCAAAGAGACACTCTGTACTTCCCTGATGATGGGTTCCAACCTTATGATAGTCATCGTAGGATTACGGCTTACAAAGGCCTATTGTGATTTCCCAGCTGTTTCCCCAACCTAGAGTTTACTCTTGGGGCCACTAAAATGCTTTTTAAATTTTCATCAAGTACCATGAGTTATGTCTACCAATGTTCCATTAAGGCTCAACAATGTCAAACCTACTTCTACACTAAGTGTACCGCTTTTTACCATGGCATGTTTTTAACATCACCCATCAGTTTCTATCAACCAAAGTTGAGTTATTCAAACCAAAATCATAAAATCATACTCAAAGGATTTTTTTTTTACATCACAAACTATTCCTCTGGTCATTTATAACAAGTTAACATAATAAGGAAATCAATAACACATGAAGTCTCAATACGAATTTGAACAATATTCTGATTTAAAAAAAATTAATCACACATGGAATATCCCAGCCATTCACTCAATATCATCTAGAGTACATAATCATTTTCTGAGATAATCAACACTCTAGGGGGAAAAAATGAAAACTAGTATTCTATCAGAAAGCAGCCTGCTAAAGATAACTGCTTCATATACGTAAACAGGTAACAGATAACACTGAGAGTTACAGGAGTAACAGCCTATCAAAGTCAGCCACTATAAGGAAGCTCCTGGTTCTATGCCTGCTTCTCAATCCTAACTCCTTGCTGACCTCAACATCTTTGATTCATTCATCTGTTAGTATTTATTGAGCATCTACTACACACGCACAGTTTAAGCAATGGGAATACAGTGATGAGAAAGCTTGCATTCTTTTGGGCAGAGAGAAGAGACTGCTAATACACAAATGAGCATGGTGCATAAAGTGATATGACAGAGAGAATTATAGAAGGGATGAAAGGAGGATGGCTAATCACGATTAGGAAAGGCACCTAAAGGGAAGGGGAGCATTTGAGCTGAGCCTGAAGAAGCCAGCCACTCGAAACATCTGGGGGAAGATATTCCATGAAGAGCCTCTGACATGAGAATAAGCTTGGCCAGTTCCATGACCAGAAAGAAGGCCAATGTATCAGGAATACAAACACATGCCAGTGAGGGCAGAGAGGGAACCGAGCACTGACTCCTGCAGGGCCTTGTAGGTCAAGAAGAAGGAGTGCGGGCTTTACTGCAAAGCGAAAGTCACTAGAGTAACGATTTTCAAAGTGCGGTTCCCAGACCAACAGCATCAGTATCACCTGGAAACTTGTCAGAAATACAAAATCCCAGCAGGGCACAGTGGCTCACACCTGTAATCCCAGCACTTTGGGAGGCTGAGGCAGGAGTTGTTCAAGATCAGCTTGGGCAAACACAGCTAGACCCTACCTTACAAAAAATTTTTTTAATTAAAATTTTTAATTTTACAGGCATGTACCTGTAAGTCCTAGCTACTCCAGAGACTGAGATGGGAGGATCGCTTGACCCCAGCAGTTTGAGGCTGCAGTGAGCTATGATTACACCACTGTACCCCAGCCCAGGTGACAGAGTGAGACCCTATCTCCGAAAAAAGAAAGGAAGGAAGGAAAGAAAGAAATGCCAAGTCTCAGGCCATGCTCCAGACCTCCTGAATCAGAAAACAGAGAGGTGGGGCCCAGCAATAGCACTGAAGTTTAAGGATTAGAGGGTTTTGAGCAGGGAAGTAACATGAAGCTAAGTTTCTCAGTAAATTGCCATAAATAATGTACAGTATTAGTTACACTAGCAGACAATAGCAGTGTATATTCATCTGTATATGTTAACTATTATAATACCAATAGTTAACCCAATAACAATATCGAAACAATTGAATCCATATACACTGGTATTTATCTTTGCATAAATTTGCATAAATTTCAGGGAATTTCAATTCAACTATAAGAAATACTAAGACCTAAAACATTTTAAATTATCTACTCCACAGTTATACCCTCAAATCACCAAATGAGAAATCTAAAAACACCCATATTTTCCTCTTTTCTCTCCCCAGAGTAGCTCACCTGGATCCCTACACCCTGTCCCACAGTGTTGATGTTATCCTCATAATGCAAAGACCACAAAACTTCCTCCAACCCACCCCTATACACACCCAACCTCCAGCCAGAAGTT